CCGAGCACACCAACGATGTGTAACACGTAGATCTGCACACACGTGCCCGGTGCCCGTCACTCGAATGCACCCACACGAGCACAACAAGCGCGCCGCTTTTGCCACGGCTCGTGGATGTACATAATGGCCGGTACATAGAGAGCAACAGCTCTCTCGCTATCTCACGGACGACGCTTTTCCAGCATGCCCGCCCCAACGCGCCGCGACCGTGACGCCAGCCGCAAAACTCTCTCTAATAGCTTTACTACAGCTGGTGTGTGTGTGCCCGGCGGAGCTTTCGCTATCGTTGGAAACTTGCACTGTCGTTTGCACTTTCGCTTGCCGCACGCCGCGCCGGGCGAATCAAACCGCCCAAGATAAACCGTGTCCCCCGTTGGTTACCGCGCTTCCGCGGCCGGCACGTGGCGTGACCTTGCGCCCAACCGGAGCGCACCTTTGACCACCGGGAACTGGTCCTGCGGATCTTCAGGTATGAGGCGAGGATGAGGACGAGATACCTGTGAGGTACCTCTGTGACCTAGAAAACGCTCGTTTTCGTTTCAGGTGCGAGTGTTTCAGATATTTTTAGAGTTGGTTCGCATGATTGATCAGATGAACAGAGATTAATTAGCAACTGGTTGAAATATTTGGTTCGATTCGTCTGTGCTGTTACATGCGATATGCTGATCTAGGAGATTTGATCTGTTAGGTAAATGGAACAGTGAATTGAAACAAAAGGATGGCGATCTTGTGATTCACCGATTATCGCTGTTATATGGTTTCCACGACTTTAGGGCTGACTATGTTTTCATAGAGAAAGTACAGGTAGAAGAAGCAGGAATACTTCAGCTATTTAAAGATCCCACATAACCACAGGATCTTTGGATCTTGCTTTTGAAAAACACGGTATAACCATCGCGAAGACGTTCTCGCTAGAATCTATAGTCACGTGATAGAGAGCTCTACTGACTCTGATGTCGAAACACCTGTGCACGCAGGCCACAGGCGATTGAACTTTCCTGGAGGACTATAAATCTGGTCTAGACCGAATGCCGCGAACTTTAGTCTTTAAAGGTCGCGGGACTGGCTACGCCGATAGCACTTGGTTCTCGGCTGCGTCTCCCCCCTTCTCCCTCCCTCCTTCCACCACCCTTTCGATAAAAAGGATCGAAGGTATCGAATACGGGGGGAGGGGGGATTCGAAGAAGTTGGTAATCCGCGGAGCATGTACCGAGCGTGTATAAATCGTCGTGGCTGGTTGAAAACGCGGCTGAAATCGATCGGTCTCGTATCGGCGTCCGTCTTGCCCGGCTGACGCGAAACTTTCCAACTTCTGCCGGGATGTTTTATCGTTCCAGCCAGTCCTGAAAACGCGCGATATAAATTAAAGCTATCTTCTCGACGGGACTCGATTTCCTCCGAACACGGAAGGATTCTTCAGTTAAAAAAGTGGATCGAAGGCATGCTTCAGTCGCAGCGTGACAATGTCAAGGAAATCTACCGTCGAAGACAAGATAGCAAGAAAATTAATAGGAATTTGAGACTGAATTCGCGATCTTATGAAAAACTCTCAATTATATGTAGAACATGAATGTCTGTACTATTCCGATTTTTATATAAATTCACATACTTACGGAGTAATTTCTAACGTGAGAAATTAAATAGAAATACATTATCCCAATAAACACATTAGAAAAACGAAGAATATAAAATCTATACTCAAGTTTATTAAAATATTGTCAACATCAGACTTTAATCACCAGTATTTACTACAAGTGTACAAAAATTCATCTATTCATAAACTAATGTCGGCATACACGAACGAAAAGATAATCTAACACGAACAATTCGTTGAAAACGAATTAAGCCATAGTAAATCCTTCGCGAGGGAACATCCGGTATACCGTCTCTAGCGCGATAATTCTCGGCCCACCCTATACAAGAGGAAGAATGCGTGGATGAGTTTCCCGATCGCGACGGGGGCGAAAATTCCATCGAATCCGTGGAGCGCAGATCGATAGCCGGGCGCGGAAGAAGACGCTTCCACCGGAACGATGACGAGACGAAATTTGGAAAAGGCTCGGCGAGGAGCGGAGCGAAGAGGGCTCGCGCTGAGAGGCGTCGTCGGCGTGAAGAGAGAACAGCTGGCGCCTCGGCGTTGCACTTTCGTCGAATCGACCGTAGGCCCGGCTTTGTACGCGCGCAGAAAAATTCAATACGGCGAGCGCGCGTTGCGGCCTGGAACCAACGTAGAGGCAGACATTTGAACAAACGAACAAAAAGCCGAAAGAACGAACGGGTAAACGTAGAAACGAACGTACAAACGAACGTACAAACGAACGTACAAACGAACGAGCGATATATCCCGTCGTCGTCGTCGGATTCTTTCGTCGGCGGAACGCAGGACGCGAGTTCCCAGAAGCCGCGTGCAAACCCAGCTGGCCAACAGAAAGAGATCGGAGATTCCGCGCGCTTGGAATTAATATTAGACGGCGACGAGTTGCGCGCCATCGAAAAAAGCCGAGCTAACGAAACATGCGCACGAAAGCCGTCCCTCGAGCTTTTGTCCGCGAATATTCGAGAGAGCTGTTAACTAACTTCGTATAAAACGATTGCAGTTAATTTCTGGATAATCGAGGGAACGAACAAATTTGAGAATGTGTCCGCTGCTACTAAAATGATTGGAGTTTTTCTGTTATGAAGTTGTATATCATAGTTTGGAGTAGATTTCGTTGGTTGCACAGTTTTAGTTGCTTTGTAGTCGACGTCTAAAAAGTCCAATTTTCGTATTCTCCTTTGTGTTTTTAAATACAGACCACTGGGCGAGCATAATTAGGAGTATTACGTGAATATAATTGCATAACGGTTTAACCCAGACTAAGCAACGAAGTTTAAAGCCACTGAAAACCGGAATTATTTTCGACCAAGCTAGTATTCGAGATAGGAGACAAATACTGTTATCGAGGTGGAGAATTTTGAACCTTGAATAAAAGATAAACGGTTGTTGTGTGTGGGTTAGCAGTAGGTAGAAAGTAAAGCGGTACATTATTTAGGACAGATGCGCGCATATTTCTATGTGAATGTTCGATTAATTGAACGCCAGGATGAAGTACATCTGCCCCATTTTATTTATAGTCTGTTATTTGCATGAAATTGTATCTACCTTTACATAGTGATTATGGTTTAGATAGTACAGTCCTGAAATTGTGAAACATGATGGAGATCTTGAAATATAGCTAACGTTTGTTGAATAATAATGCGTTCTGATACATTGAAGTAATATTGCAGTACTTGCTATACTGTGAATATAGTCACTATCATCACCGTCACCACCTTACTCTTTCTAAAGTGTAATACGGACGTTGAAATTTCAAAATTTATAGTTACTATTTATACATTACTCGTTGGAATATGTATTATTTTAAATTATAGCCGACCATTCTGGCTAATTTAAAATGACAGAATAAACTGAACATACGATCCCTTGTTAAACAGTTCGAGTATTTCGTGGCTAAGTACACCTCACGCAGCAAGCAGATAATTGTCAGCGACACGTAAGTCCCAATCCCGAGCCGCGTTTCCATTTTATGAGAAACGACGCCGCGGAATTCCGCGCGTCCCGTTTCATTACCATCGCGAGCCTGTATCGAGCAGTCACGGCTGGCTCGAACTTCTTTGTTTCACTCGGGATCAGCGTCGTGGCGTGTTATCGTGACACGAGGAATTTCGCGTCGCTTTCACACGCGACGCACAGAAAACTGTTTGCACGCCGATACTCCGTTTCGATCGTCCGCCGTTCAGCGGGTACGTCAATTATCCGTCGATCTTTTATACCTTGAGACGGTATCTTAAAATACCTCTCACATTAAAACGCCGCTGCGAAACGAACACAGTCACAGTCTTTCCGTAAATTCAATTTAATTGACTTCAATCCACCTTAATGACGGTAAAAAATCTTTAACCGCGCGTTATAATGCGCGTCGTTCGAACGGCGCTCAAGTACCCAGAATGAAGATACTGGTCAAAAACAAGAATGCGATAATTCAAGCCACGGAAAGCTAAACAGATCTCCCGCTAATGGAAGTAATGAACATCCACACGCGTGACAAACCCATCCGCAAGAAACGCGTAACCCGCCGGGGGCCGAACACACCATTCCAAGGACTGAAGCGGCACTAAATCATACCACCGCGACTCAACGAGCTACCTTCGTGGACGCGGGCTCAGGGACAAAAACGTTCCCCGATTAGATACCAGAAATCTATTAGCAAGAAGAATCAGGAAGCGCGACCCGGTCGCCATTCATCGTCCCGAAAACGGCAAAAAAATCGGCGGTAGTCAGCGGTGTGGGGATCGAGGGGAATAATTATTCGGGGCCCGGTTCCCAGTTATCTCCGTTTCCGCGACGGTAAATCCGCGATAACACCTCGCGTTTCCTTCGTCCTTTTTCACTCTTTTCCCTCTCTTTCTCTCGG